TTTTTGGGACTGCAACCTGTTTGAAGAATGTATCTTCCTTTAAAAATACATATTTACATATGCCCGTAAGGTCCAACAAAGCATTTGTAAACATTCTCAGTTGAAATGTTTGAATTTGGTTCATGTTTGCAATTATCGTATGCTTAGACTTAATCCATGCATTTGACAATTTTTTAAATATCACCGGTACTTGTATAAGTACCGTGTCTATGCACCATTTCCTTTGTTTAACAATATGTTAACTTTGATTGATTTTATGTTGTTTTACGATCCATTCAGAATTCTTCACTTATATATAGCGTTATTACCATAAACAGATGAATGGCCTCATTTAGAAGTTTACGGTGGCACTCGGGTTTGAGCAGTGAGGAATCTCTATTGTGCGAACTCAAACCAAGGCACTGGGCCTAGGTTAGGTCTCATCCGAAACACGTGTAACTTTTATTTCAAGGTATTGCTAATAAATGTAACAAAAGTTGTTGAGAATGCATTTCACACCCAGCATCAGGTTGGAGGAATATTCTCTATTTAAACCATTATTATACCCCCCGCTTGAAAAGTAGGAGGGTATATAGTAATCGGTATTTCCGTCCGTTCGTCCGTCTGTACGTCCGTCCGTCTGTTACGCTTTGGGGTACCCATCTCTTATCCGCAACTCCTCTCATACCACTGAAGGAAATTTAATAAAACTTTCACAGAATCTTCATTACATATTGCCATTGAGCACCTCCTATTTTACTTTTTGATCTGATATATATGTTTGGATTTTCCAGAGCAAAACATGGACACTGCCATTATATTCATATGGGGGGCGGGGGGTATCATTTAGTGAGATCATTGCTCACAGTACCTCTAGTTTTAATAAAGTTGAAAATGCAAGTCATACCCAACCATTATTGTGATAAATCGCTTTTAAGGTAGCAGACATGAAACCCTTGCAAAGTCAGCCACTCTGTTCATGTTATTTTACCTTTTGGCTTGTATACATCTTAGTGAAAAAGATGCATGGCTCCGTCTTTAGGTGGATCCTCCTTCATCGGTTGTTTCAGTGCTCTCCACTTCACTGCTGTGATCAGGTCCCAGCCTGGATGCACTTAGTCCTCCATCACGGCTTCTATCCTAGTTTCTGTCTTTCCATTTACCTGCCTACTGCCCTCTCCACAGACACATTGATGCTGTCTCGGTCTCCCTAAACAGACTTCTCCATCATTTCCTTTTCTCTGCCGCAGTTAAAACAATGGCTCACAGTGCTTTACAAATGGATTACCTCCCCCCCCCCCCCCCCAAAGAATCACATATCCCGCCGCCATGGAAAAAACACGGGCCTTCCGTCAATTCTACTTAATTATCCCTCTTATATACACGTTCTTTATTTTGTTTTCCCATGACATGCATTGTCATTTCATAAATGCGACCAGAAAACTTCATTTGGCCTTTTGTTTCCATTCCTAATAACTTTTGAAAAACACAATTATTGGAGAGACCTAAAAATCAACCCAAAAAGTCTAATTATCTTCATTATAAACTTTTGAATTCGAAAATATGTTCCGTTAATGTTTGGGATAGATTCATCTGAAGACAATTTACGCAAAAGCATAACACCATGCTGTGGTCATAGAACAATGAATATAGATACAGTCTTCATGCTGAAAGAAGGATAACTCTCTCAATATATAAAAGAGGCACACATTTATTTTTCTTCAACTTCTGCCCTGTTCATAGGGAGAGTTTACTTCAAATACCCGACTCCGGGCTCTATGCTCTTTTATAAAAATTTTGTAACATTGTTCAACTCAGTAGTTTGATCATCGTTATGTAAGTAGGCATACTAATTTTGAAGGCTGAATGATAAAAAAATCGACGAAATGGTTTCTTTTCAACAAAATATATACATGTAGATATCCTTAAATTCTCTAAGCTTCGCTTGGGTTACATATTTTTCTTCATGTTTTTTTTGCGCTAATGAATAAATGATGACATAGAAAATATTCAATTTAGAAAGAGATATCTGTAAAAATGAAATTCTTTTTCATAAAGCTAATATGCTAAAAAGGATGATATCAAGAGAATTAGTGATCATAATTATTTCAAATGAAAATGTTACGTGTACTGTAGATTCGTTTGGGAGTCAATATTCTCTTTCAGTTTTATGTCCACTTTACTGCTGTGATAAGGTCCTTGCCTGGATGCACTTAGTCCTCAATCACTCTTCTGCCCTATTTTGTGTCTTTCCACTTACCTGCCTTCTGCCATCTCCACAGACACATTGATGCTGTCTCGGTCTCCCTAAACAGACTTCTCCATCATTTCCTTTTCTCTGCCGCAGTTAAAACAATGGCTCACAGTGCTTTACAAATGGTTTGCCCCCCCCCCCCCCCAAGAATCACATCCCGCCGCCAAGGAAAAAAACACGGGCATTCCGTCAATTCTATTGAATTCTCCCTCTTATACACGTTCTTTATTTTGTTTTCCCATGACATGCATTGTCATTTCAAAAATGCGACCAGTAAACTTCACTGGGCCTCTTGTTTCCATTCCTGATAACTTCTGAAAAATAAAGAGTTATTGGAGAGACCTAAAAATCAACCCAAAAAATCAAATTATCTTCATTATAAACTTTTGAATTCGAAAATATGTTCCATTAATGTTTGGGATAGATTCATCTTAAGAGAATTTATGCAAAAGCATAACACCATGCTGTGGTCATGGAACAATGATAGATACAGTCTTCATGCTGAAAGAAGGATAACTCTCTCAAAGTATAAAAGAGACGCACATTTATTTTTCTTCAACTTCTGCCCTGTTCACAAGGAGAGTTTACTTCAGATACCCAACTCCCGGCACTATGCTCCTTTATACCAATTTTGTAACATTGTTCAACTCAGTATTTTGTTCATCGTCATGTAAGTAGGCATACCAATTTTGAAGGCTGAATGATAAAAAAAATCGACGAAATGGTTCTTTTCAACAAAATATATACATGTAAATATCCTTAAATTCTCTAAAGTTCGCTTGGGTTACATATTTTTCTTCATTTTTTTTTTTATTTTATTTTTTTTTTTTTTTGCGCTAATGAATAAATGACATAGAAAATATTCAATTTAGAAAGAGATATCTGTAAAAATGAAATTCTTTTTCATAAAGCTAATATGCTTTAAAAGGATGATATCAAGAGAATTAGTGATCATAATTATTTCATATGAAAATGTCAAGTGTACTGTAGATTCTCTTGGGAGTCAATATTCTCTTTCAGTTTTATGTCCACTTCACTGCTGTGATAAGGTCCTTGCCTGGATGCACTTAGTCCTCAATCACTCTTCTGTCCTATTTTGTGTCTTTCCACTTACCTGCCTTCTGCCATCTCCACAGACACATTGATGCTGTCTCGGTCTCCCTAAACAGACTTCTCCATCATTTCCTTTTCTCTGCCGCAGTTAAAACAATGGCTCACAGTGCTTTACAAATGGATTGCCCCCCCCCCCCCCAAGAATCACACATCCCGCCGCCAAGTAAAAAACACGGGCATTCCAACAATTCTATTGAATTCTCCCTCTTATACACGTTCTTTATTTTGTTTTCCCATGACATGCATTGTCGTTTCAAAAATGCGACCAGTAAACTTCACTGGGCCTCTTGTTTCCATTCCTGATTACTTTTGAAAAACAAAAAGTTATTGAAGAGACCTAAAAATCAAATTATCTTCATTATAAACTTTGATCATCGTTATGTAAGTAGGCATACTAATTTTGAAGGCTGAATGATAAAAAATCGACGAAATGGTTTCTTTTCAACAAAAGATTCTCTAAGCTTCGCTTGGGTTACATATTTTTCTTCATGTTTTTTGCGCTAATGAATAAATGATGATATAAAAAATATTCAATTTAAAAAGAGATATCTGTAAAAATGAAATTCTTTTTCATAAAGCTAATATGCTAAAAAGGATGATGTCAAGAGAATAAGTGATCATAATTATTTCAAATGAAAATGTTAAGTGTACTGTAGATTCTCTTGGGAGTCAATATTCTCTTTCAGTTTATATTGGTGAAGAAAATCTTTCATTGACAATCGGATTGGTTTTCATTACGATTGTAATTATCAGAAAAATTTCATTTAGATGTGCATTTTGTACTTCTTTATTAACACTTTTTATACGGGATATTTTGATTTTAGTTTTGGGACCAAAGAGGGATAAAACAGCTTTTCCTTCCAAAACCTAGTTACCAAAACTTCTCTTATATTTTACTCTGTACACAGGAAAAATGTCCACATGTGTTAAACATATGTTTGGTTTCACATGTGTTCAACACATGTTTTATACATGTAATACATGTGTGTAAATAAACACATGTAAAATATGTGTTTCATTTATATGTAAAACATATATAATATACACATGTTATACACCTGTGAGATAATATATGTGTTAAACACATGTTTTTCACCACACATGTATAACACGTATTATATATATGTAATATATGTGTGCGAAAATACAGATGAATTATACATGTTTAATTTATATAAAATATATGTGTATTCATAAACACATGTTGTACACATGTTAGATTTTATCTCATATGTGTGTGTACATTATATTCAAAAGAATTTGTAAATGTTAGTAAAATTTTACTCGTGTAAAGTTTTACTTTGTTTATCCCCCCCCCCCCCTTTCCCTTCCAAAAAAAATTTCACAATTTTTTTTCTGTAATAATGCATTTATCAGACAAAATCGATAAAGAATGAATTCATTTTCTTTTCATTTTACTTCTTGAGTAAAATTAAAATAATTCCGTATTTGTCTCCGGACCGGTTTTGTCTTTTATCGGATGAAAATGTACGTCATTTTTGACGTCACTGCTGCAGCAGACGTGCTGGGTGTATTGGAAAGGTAAGTGATCTCCAAACAATTTTGAAAAGACTTTTAATTCATATTGTTTAAATATCAGTTCATTATAGTTACAGGTGCGTATGAACTTTCTATACATACATATATAATACTCTTATCATTGTGACTTGTCATGCATTTCGTAAACCTAACGATAGTGATCTGTAAGTAATTTTGGTGAAAAATGTTTCTGACTGAATGTAAGCACGGGCACTGGAAGTTAATGTAAATATATAGTATGTGTATGTATAAAAAAGACCCTTCTTTTTTATACATACACATACTATATTATTTATATTAACTTCCAGTGCCCGTGAATGTAAGCGGTTACATGTTAGGCTAAAGGCATTACTATTTTTTATGATTTGTATACAGGTAAGTAATTTTGGATAAATTTGTTTCTGAATGAACGTAAACATTACATGCTAGGCTATTTTTTAAAGGCATTATTGGTTTTCCTTTTGTGGTTACGTACTGATATGAAAGTGAAAGTAGAAACCTTGAAACCATTGTGACTGTCAGTTGGTGTTTATGTATGTTGAGATGGCTGTCAAGTCGATTTTTTCATCAACTTAATAACAAGTGTTTGTTTTTATGGCCTATAGATGCATGCAGTAACTTGAGTTCAGTGTCACATTGCTGCATCTAAAAAGCCCAAAGCTGGTAAGACTGGCGATTGATCCTAAAGCTGATTTGACAGAGGATTGCATCTTCACAATATTAAAGGTAAAAATAAATACTACTTGCAATAAAAAATCAAAGTAAACATCTGTAATGACTCCTTCATGACAAAATATTTCTTGATACATTGTAACTTCTTTTTGTTCCTTTATAATTCTACATTTGTTGTTTGCACGACTTCAATTCATAAATAGTAATTAAGTCCAACTCAATGCTACAATAATTTTATTCTATATTATAAAACAGTTTTAACCCAGTGCACTTTTAAAATATTGAAAGTATGAATAGAATTTGCTGGCTTTAAAAGCTATGAAACTGGTACATGTACTGTAAATGACTTCAGGGGGGAGGGGGGGGTTATTGAATTTTTGAATTTCAGTTAAAAATTAATGATAACAGTGACATCCCACTTTCAAGGTACAAGTACATGTGCATATGTGTTGATTGTTGAATGTACATCAGCTAGCTAATCCATTGGATATTTACATCTATTATGTACCGGTATTCATTACCTGACATTTATTATTTTTTCCAACACTAGAGAACATAGTTTCTGGTAAAATGTAAAATATTAATTAAGACTATTAAGAACCCACAAACATGTACTCTCTCTTTTTTGTAGTTGTAGTTTTGTAGTTTAAGGGGGCCGACTATAGTTTTATTGTGTGAAAACTACAATAGCGAAACTCTTCATTTTTATATAATATATAACTTATATTAACTTCAGTGTACATGCAAAGTTTGGGGGAAATCTACCGTCCAGGTATTTTTGAGGGACCGTCTCAAAATACAGGTACATTTACTATAGGATTATATAAGAAAATGCCAATTTTTAGCGCTTTAAAGCAAATTATACAAATATTACAATAGACATTTTGTTCAAACTAGAATATTTCATGAGTAATACTATATTATACAACATATATAAGAAACACAAAATTCTACCGTTTTGTTAACTGAGGGGGCATCTCAAAATGCAAAAAAAATCAGCAAATTTTACTATTTTTATAGAGTACTACAAAATATGACGTAAACAATGGATTCACAAAAAACATAATAAAAAATATTGAAGATATTCTAAAAATTCTATGTTTTAAATTTCAAGAGCGTATGTTTATTACTTTTTCTTTAATAATATTTTTATTAACCCTGTCTTTAAGAGCTACAGATTAACATAACGTCAAAAAGACACTGCTGCGACGTCAACCTACCTATCAATTGCAAAATCGGTTAAATAACCAGTTATATCAAATTGTAATTACATTTTCATACCTATAATTTCTTAATTTTGTTAAATTTTAATAATAAAGTGAAAAAAGTTGCATTAAAACAGTAAATAGGCTTCATTTTACTATGATGCGCGAAATATTGCGCAATGGAAACTATAGTCGGCCCCCTTAATTAAGTTTTAGTTATGCTTAGAAGATATCTACTGCATGAATATTTGTTTTACAGGTTCAATATACAGTCAGCGTCTCATAAGAATAAATCCCAAGATCCAAGACTTGCTTAAAAGCTTAATTAAGGTAACTACACACTGTTAAATAAACTTTGTTATATTCTTCCCAACAATGTTTGGGATATCCTGGAATCACACTGTTTTTCTGCCTGTCTACTTCTCTGTAGTATTTTTTGTCCAAAAATAAAATACATGTGTCAGAATCTTCTTAATTTTTGGCAATATGAATTAGTAATACTGTTTGAACATTCCAAATTTAATTGTCAAAATCAAAAAAAAAATGCTTTTTATGACTTTATTATGAAGCATATCTTCCAACAGAGTAATTGTCTTGCAAATTACATCATAGGATTCCACAAAACACCTAGTATAACATATATAACATTAGTATTATCTCTTATCATATCTCTGTTGGTGAATTGGACATACATTTGTTTGCTGAACTTTAATATTACTTGTAGAATTGATTTTGTAATTTAAGAATTGTTTTATTTTTACTTTTGAAATTTTTGTAGAGACCATTCTGTGCCACAAAGAAATTGTTCAGGAAAGGGAGAAATGGTGGATATGCATTTTGGGTACAGTTCAAAGAGAGTTCAAAATGGTCAAGCTCATGGAAGATCAGAGGGAGGACAACTGAAGAAAACTGAAAGATACAGAAGGAAAAAGAACAAGAAAATATATGAAATAATTATGAAATTGGGAGGATGTACACAATCTTGTCTGCATTTGACCTGTAAAGATTTAATTCCCATTCTTATTTGTATGCTGTAATATCAAATAACTTGATTTTTCATAAATTTACAATAGAGAATACATGACAAATGTTATATGTGATATTTCAATTTTGCTTTGGACACTTTCATGTCAAATCATATAAATTATAAAAATATACATGGACTAATTATGTTATTCATTTGTACATGTATGCATGTTTAACATTTAATCATTTTGTGGAAATCTTATAATTGTACTCAACTTAGAATATGTAAAATATATGTATCGACAAATGCTACTGACTTGTTTGTAAACTTTCCTGTTTAGAAAGTACACTGAAAAATAAGTTATTTCTCTTGATGAAAATAATTTATCAAAAAAGTTGTGTAAGCATTTTAAGATATTAATTTTCAAATATTTAACCCATGAAGATAGATCATTGGAATGTAATGGATTTTCATCTAAAGCAGAAATATCTGATTTTTAAATGTGTACAAGAATGTGTTTTTCCTTTTGATAAATATTGAAAGAGAACACATGTAACTATTTCATATGACTTACATATGCTGCCCTTTTCATATGATTCACATATGTGGACAGACATGAAAAAAGTATAAAAATGATAATAAGTACAACAGTAATATTATACACGTATAATTCACATATAAAGTATAACATATATAAAACACATGTTTAACACATGTTTCATATGTATAAATATACAATGTGTTTATTTTTACACATGTTAAACACATGTGAAATATATGTTTAACATGTGTAAAAATAAACACCCTATACATGTGTGCTCCTTTTATGTGTTTTACATGTGTAAAAAATATATGTTAAACACATGTTTAACATATGTTCAACACATGTGGACATTTTTCCTGTGTAGCTGTCTTTTCTTTTGCAAGATGATTTGGAGTGTCCTGCAGAAGTGCAATAAGGATCTGGAATTTTCTTTTCGCCCTGGAGGCAAATGGTAGTCATAAAATAATGTTTTTTTTTTTACTTTACATGAACCTGTATCCTTTTCCAAGATGGTCATAGAGTTTTCTGTAGATGCGCAAAAAGGATTTTGAATTTTTTACCCTGTAGAGTCTGTATAGTGCACTCGCTTCTCGGCGTTGCTATCCGAGTTTGATCCGAGTTTGATCACTGTAAACGGCAAATATTGTATGAGAGGGGTAAGGTGTTCGCCCGCACAAATATTTTTGGGGGGTACTCAGGTTTCTTCTCACAGATATGACCTCTTCACTCCAACATCCTTGCAGAGGACCCACTGACAATAAGCTTTCGAGCTTTTAGGGGTTATTTTCGGTACCATTTATGTATGTGTATTTACATGTACATTTGATGTATATACTGAAAACGGCATTTTTTCATTTTGCAAAACTTTCTCCTCAAAACTCTTCATGCTTTTAAAGTCAGTAGCCATTTCATTTCTTTTCTGGTGATGTCCTGCAAATATTAAATAAGATTCGAAAAAAGGTGTTTTGATTTTACAAAAAAAAAGTTTCCCCATAACTTCTCATACATTTTGGTAGTGCACATATCTTTCCAGATGTTTGGACCTAGCCTGCAGATGTGCAATAATGTAAGGAATTTTTAATTTTGTCCTTGGGCCTTTTTCCCGAAAAACCTTTTTAACCACATAAAGGTACCATTTACTTTATTATATGTTTAATTTCTGACCGGTAATGAATTTATTATTTGGTACATTCCATGGTTGATACAACAACCTTGTCATTAAAATACAATCTAAAGTTAAGTAAAGTGCTGACTGGCGATTTTCATATTGTTAGACCATTATTTCCACATTGTATGTCTTCATGTTTTTCCGTTTGTCCAATTATGACATGAAGCACACGGCGGGTGGAAGCGTTAAACAGGGATTGTTTACTTCTCCTTGGTCCCGGATTCCATGCATCTCTGATATTTTTAGAAGTCTATATGTTTGTTCGGCTCCAAATTTGTATTTTTTTCAATAGACTGCTGAATTTGATTATTATCCTTTATCTCCAAATGTCATTGAAATACTTGCATATAGGTCTTACGGTAATAAGCTTATTCTATGCTTAATTTGATAGACATATGCATATTTTATATAACATATAGAATACTTTTTTCGCATCATCGCTATCCCGGTAGAAGGGAACTACCATACATGCTCGTTGTGAAAATGAGACTTGAACTCACTCGGTTCACTGAGGCACTTGAAATTTGGCACAGTGTGGACTTGGTTTCTCTTTAATTGTTGTGACAGCAGTGAAGGTAGCGGACTTCCTCTCCTCCGATACCATAACAGACAAGACTTACTCTTTAATTTGGCTGTATCTATCCTAAACCTCTCTGTTGATTCAGGTGCACTGGATTCAATGTTCTCATTAATTGTCCTTACTCATGATTTAATTTTTTTTTATTAAAATAATACATTGAATGTATTGATTTATACAGACATTTCTTCAAGTTGATCAACATGAATTACTATCACATTTAACAACGGTTGGTTCAAAGCTATTTGTTCTTATCTAAAACATAGAAGGTGATCTTGATTTTTCAGAGTAAAGTAATATTTGGTAAAATTGACCCCCTCCCATGTTTAATTTCTATACCACTGCCAAAATGCATATACCAAATCTGTGATATAATTGTAATGGTGGATTGAGTCGATCGCTTTTGTTGTTTTGTTTATTTGTTAGTTTAAGGTCCTATTAAAAATTCTCTCATACTGGGACGCCGTCATTGGCCAGTTGAGGGCTGCAAATTTAGACCTTTCCTAAGCATTACGGTCTTTGATCAGCGAGGATTTTTTTCCGTGCAAACAACTACTGCAAAACGACATCTCGGGTTACAGGTTTCTTCGGAAAAGCCGGTAATCTTTGTTCGACGATAGGAAACTCGCAACGTAAGGATTGAATCCATACTCAGCACTTGGTATATTATGATGAAATAATGCCTTGTAGATACCTTTGGTAAAAGGAGAGACTTAGGAGTAAACCCTACAGAAATCTCCTGAGTAACTACCAGAAGGCTGTTGGAGTACCAATGCATCCGGCAACTATGTCCACGCCTAGTCGTTTTATGGCGTGCATTCGTCCCGTAAGGCAGAAGAAGTTGAACTCTGAAAATCATGGGCAGATCTAGACTTGTCAGCCATAGATCTTGTGGAAGGAAACCATAAACAAATTGCCCTGGTCCTCCAGGTTGAGGTTCACGCGCAAGTCTAACAACCCTGCCCTATTAAAATAGAAATAGCAACCAGAATAACCTTTACTTCAGTGTGTGAAAGGCCTTCCGAGTTCAATGAGACTCGTATGAATACTGATAATTTAAGTCATAAGAACGTTACCAGCAGAATGGGGGAGGAACTGAACACCACCAATATCAAGCTCCGATTAGGGCATTGGAATGAGAGGACAGTGAGAAAGGCAAGCTGGTACAGATAACATTCGAGATGAGACAATTTAACCGCCATGTCCTAGGAGTGAGTGAGACCAGATGGACTGAATCTGGAAAGACAACCTACAGCATGAAGGAGTAGCCACCATACTTACGAAAGGTGTAGAGCCGTGCCTGATGGAATGGAAGCCCGTAACTAATACATTGATTTGTGAAGAATTGAATGGCAAGGGCATCAACACTACATTAATACAATTCTATTTACCAACCAATGACAGTAGCAATGAAAACAATGACAACTTCTTTAGTTCAATACATGCAGAGATGGAGAAGACTCACTGCACGACCTCCTTATCATGAGAGACCTCAATGCTAAGGTCGGAAAAGGACAATACCTACTCTAAAAGAGTCATGGCGAAAGAATAATGGAGTTCTATGCTACGAAATACTAGTAACCTAGTGATAGGAGAAACCCTCTTCACACATCTTGGTATCCACAAGCTGACCTGGAACTCACCAAACGGAAGGGATAAGAACCAGATTGACCATCTTACGATTAATAACATGAGGAGACTCTCTTTTAGATGTTAGGGTCAAGCGGAGTGCAGATGTAGGCAGCAACCATCACCTGGTTACATCACTCATCAAGAATAAATTGAAAAAAGCTGAGGCAAGGCCTAACACTCAAGCACGTTTTGGCATTTAGAGACTGAGGAACAACATCGTAAAAGCTGTCTTTATCAGCGATATAAGAAACAGATTCCAAATCTTGCAAGACATATCATATGAAGATGATGAGACCATTGCAGACAACACATGGAAGCAAGTGATCAAATTGTACACTTAAAACATTAAAAAGAAACTAGACCTTCGCAAGAGAAAAACCGACTAAGACTGAATCAAGCAGGATTGCTATAGGGAATTGAATAGAAAGGAAATCAAGAAAAAGATGCTGCAGATTAAGTCCCCACAACTACGTAATAGGCAATATAATTTATATAGTGAGTCTAACAAGAGAGTCAAGAATCTTGCTCGTAGCGACAAGAGAGAAGAAATGGACAAACTTGTAGCTGAGGCAGAGACAGTACAAAAAGAGCAAGGGATACAAGATCACAAAACAGGTGTGTGGTAAATTTAGTTAAGACACAGAAAGACCTATCAAAGACAAGCACGAAAAATTGCTGACAACAGAAAAAGAACAAGAAGAGAGATGTGCTGAACACTTTCGCGGAATACTTAATCCATCATACCTAATGAAACAAGTTGTCATACCAGAAGCCACAGAAGATCTGAATTTCGACACTAACCTACCAGATAAGGAGGAGATGATGGATGTAATCAAGAATCTTAACAACGGGAAGTCACCAGGGCGAATAATCTTAATGCTGAGCTTTTTAAAGCAGATCCTGGAAGCCTCCAACCACTGTTCACAGGTGTGTGGGATATGGAGAAAGTATCTGATGACTCGTTTAAAGAGGCGATTGTCAGGATCCGAAAGAAAGGAACCCTGATCGATTGCCACGACTGAAGGGGATTCACTCTATTGTCCGTGCCAAGTAAGTTCCTGGCCAAGGTAATCATTAAAGAACGTCAAACGCAGTTGACGCTGTAATGAAGAGCAAGCAAGATTTAGGAAACATCGAGGATGTACTGACCAGATCTTTACATTCTGAAGTATCATAGGGAGTACACAGAGTGGCAGAGACAACTATATGTAAACTTTGTTGACTTTGCCTACTTCATTATGGTATTCCATCCAAACTGG